AAGGAGTCAGTAAGAGCCATGAAGCCTCGTGTTTGATATGGAATTGATGGCAGCGATGAAGTGTTTCTTCGCGCATGATATGGAAATGATTGCAGCGATGAAGTTATTCGGCAAACGTTGTTTTTGCGACACATCCGGAACCCCATTTAAGATCGACGCTTTGCCTGCCACCGTCGACGTTCTCCAAGAAGTCTTTGATAGCAGTCGACTGATTGGATCCTTGATGGGAGATCAGGCAGCGGATTTTCCAGCACAAACGTTAATTCCTGGAAACGCGAGCATGAATTTCTCCTAGAAACCACGTATAAAAGTTATCAACGTTGCTAGTTAGAGGACTTCGACATATCATGGTAATTACACACGCAAGTGAAATGTGAGAGAAATCGTTCAAATGGAAAACGAAGAAATTGTGGAAGTAGTTTCCAATATCGGAGGAATGCGGTGTGAAAGAGGTTTGATCAAACAAGAGGTTTGAGACGAATAAATTGTTAACTTGTACTCCACAAGATATTCTCTCTTGTGATTAAAAATATTTGAATTAAGTGTTGTCCAGAAACGGAACTGACGACATTCTGAGTGCTTACAATAAAAGCATTACTCTGTAACATTAAAAGTAGAGAGACTCATCTGGATAAAGAATTTGTCTCGGAAAGAATACTGTGGAAAAAATGTATAAATAGGACCGATGAGAGAAGCGATGAAAGCAGTTCTCACCACTTACCAGGTTTTTACTATCGAATAAGCTAATTTATCTGCTGACGCTGAAATAATGGGACCAATTATAAAAAAATACCAGTTCAGCTTGTCTTTGAATCGGCTTTTCCAGTAATGTGTGCAGCTTGATAGATTTTTACGCCGAAAAATATCATAGTTGGCACAAGGTTAAAGGTTGTAATACATATAAAAAACACTATTCGTTTAATTTTAAAGCCCAAAAGCAACGCAAAGTAGCTTCGACAAAACTTCGGAATAAGAAACGCCCTCGTCCAGTTAATATGACGGCGGCAAGGATCCTGCACTTCTTCCCACCTTGAGTACTTCTCTTTTCTCCGCAAAGTGACTTTAAATGACTTGGGCAAGACTCGGATGCCGTCCTTTCTGAGGCAACCACTTCAAGATTTTCATGAATTTCAATGAAGTTCGCGGCGGCAGAGTCGATTGCGCCGTTTTCCGCAGGTCTGATCGCGAGGAATAAGCTACGATGGCAGCCGTCGTCGCTCCAATTATTTCCCAAAGATCTTTTCCTGGAGAAATAGTTTCTTTAGAAAGACCAATCGATGTTGCAAGCTAACTTTCGAAGTCGGAAGTTGCTTCACGACGAAGGTCCCAATAGTTATACAAGAAGACACACGTAAGTGGCCTGTGAAACATAACGGATGACAATCATGTCCAAATAAAGTACATCTCAAATATTTTTTGAAATACTTGCAAGTTAACCATAAATATTCACACCAGTAACGTTCTTTACTTAGTCAAATGATACAATAGTTCGACGGCACGAAAAGTTTGAAACCGCTCTTCCATACAATGAACAAAGCCAGGCAACTCGAAGCTCAAAACTCATCTGGCACTCCCAAACAAAGCTACGCGCCCCAACTGTGAGATTCAAACTGGAGTTGGAGAAAAAGCATGGACGTAACAACGAAGCTTCAAGCAAAAGCAGACGCCGAGCTCGTATGGGATTTGATAACACATGCCAGCGACAAAGCCTGCAATTGCGACCCAGATGACAGCAGCTTTTTCTCTGACAGTTCGAATAACGTGGCGACGCTCAAATCCGTGAAACTTCGCTTGTATTCGCTGAATTTTTCGTGTTTTATTCCATTTATTTGCAGGTCTGAAGTGCTACTTACGACAAATTTGACTGTAGGTCAGCGTTAATCTCAACAAGACCAGGGTAACTCCACAAAAGTTATCTGGTTTTATTCATGATCAACGGCGATGACTTCCAAAGGACTGTTACTTAAACGTCTCGGTATTTAAATAACTTTGGTAAGTTGGGAATTAACATTTTCCAATGTTAATTCCCAAAAGTTGGAAACATTAATTTAAACAGTTGGAAGTGTAGGACTAAAATGACGAGCTGCTAATTGTGTGAAAATAAAAATAATTGCGATCGTACACTACTAATTTCGATTATAGGAATAGACGAATATTAGAGGTCTCAATTCTCGCTTCAGATATGAACGCGTTCGGAAAATGAAGACAGCATTAGCCTAATGGGTCGTGATTTTTTAATCGAGTCCTTCGCGCAAGCCAGCGTTGTCCGCACTACGAGATGCAATGATCAAAACTTAAATTAAGCAAATCGGTGGAATTGGGGGCAAAATGAGCGAAATATTAAACATTTAATTCATTGGAGTAACCTAATGAGAATTTTTTTGGATTCATTCATGTAATCGCACGACCATTTCCCTGAAACAGACACACGAATCGAAAACGACCGGTCAAAGGCGGTTTCCGGGGCGTGATATTTTGTCCAATGAAGGTCCTCGTATAGAGTAAAGTAAAAATAAAACTAACACCTGAATGTGGTTAATCAATCCTGAAAAAATTATTATTAGCTGTATTAGAAGCAGGTTGTAACTATAAATTATGAGATTCAGCGACTACCAAGAGCATCCGAAACGAACAAACCCGTGATTTCAGAAGCACGTAGAATATGTGTAGCCGAAAGATTCGGTAAATCTCTAAAGCTTTCGTTACCTCAAGAAGAGCACTAATATTAATATTGGGAAACATCAGCTCAAGTGACATAAAGAGCAACTGGGTTTTGATTTTTACCAAGGTTTTGTCTGGGTCTGAAGATGGTATCTGGTGGAGCAGCCAGTCGGCGGCCGGACAGTTCGACTGATTTAGTCTGAGAGTTCGTATTGCTTTAGAAGAGAGGGACCGGCGATGGCTCGTGTCTCCTTGGTAGTGGGTTAGCCATTGCTGGCTTTGATTGGATTCACCGCCTAGAGGGGATCTAATCGGATACAGGAGCCCACCGAAACTGATTGGAAACAGAAATCAGTGCATGCATCAAAGATTGCAGCTCAAACACGTTCCTTTAGTGGAACCGAATAATGTGCAGCTTCCATCCCATTTTCGAAATTTTCGAGCATGGAAATCGAAATTTCGATAGTGCACAAGATTACAAGATTAAATAATGCATGAAAAATATAATTTAAGCGGCGAAAATAATTTATTTATGTTAATATTTAGTATTAAATTCGAGAAAAAACTACAAAACGAACTGAGTTTAAAAAGCTGTCCTACAAGCCGTCGATGATTGTGCAAATAAATCAAAATTTTGTTGTTTTTTAGTTGTGAAAAAACATACGTAGTAGTGTTAAAAACTATTTAATTTTTCTGTCTGTAATGAGGGAATTTTTACAATTTAGAACATCCTAAGAGAATGAAAACGTTTTGGAGACCAGCGTTTGCACCATCACTTCATCGACATGCGTAGAACTGATTAAAAACTTCAGCAACGTAAAACTGGAACCGACCAAAATTTACAAAGCATATGCCAAAATGAAGTGGAAAATCTAATTTGCAATTTATCCAATCCAGTGATCTTAACATAAGCGAATATTCAAAGTGGCAAATCGAGATTAATATGCTGATTTATTTAAGTATCCACAACTTAATAGTACACTAACAACCATCTTAATCACTAATGAAAGCGTAATCTGAACTATAAAAACGAAAGTCCAGTAAAGAGAATTTAAAAAGGGCTCTAAAAAGAATCAAAAGTGGAATGAGCAGCAAACCACACCGAAATAATATAACCAGATTGAAGACAAGTTTCCTTAACTTCGAAAACTCGGAGTAACTTTCAGGCCGCTAGTGCCATGAAAACAGGCTTTGATGGTTAAAAGAGCGAGTGTACGCTTGTTTACCTCACACCAGCCACGAAGTAAAAGGACGTTGAAATAATCCAACGCGTGTCACAAGAATTAAACTGCGTCTTTAGGTTCCTTGAACAAATAACCTGAGTCAGAATTTTTTTCAAGTTAAAGCGAGAAGGTCTTCATCTACAACTTCCAGATTTAACCGATTTTTGCCCCTGACACAGACAAATGATCTGGTGTGCCTCAATTACATTCTGATAAATGACCTCAGGGAGCGTTTTCTACCAACGATTCCAGCAAAACGAACGCCATAGCAATCCTAGCAGCTAGGCTGCCATAAATGACGCCTCCGAACAACAGATAAATGTTTCAAGATGTTTCTCCACCACATAAAAATGATGTTCTTCATTTTTGGTGAAGTATATTCAGTTAACACATTGATCACGTGAATGCCGGTTCGCCAGATTTCGCAGGATCTGTGGCTCCAAGCATTGTTTTATGTTAATCGAAATTTCTGTCTTCGGAGAAAAACGCCGAACAAAGAGCGCTGTCGGCTTGAATTGGTGATTCCAAGCCTCGAAGATCAAGAGGAAGTTGAGGGATTCACACGTCGTTAAAATAAAAAAAGTAATCTCTGGAAGTGGCGACTTTTAAAGAAACGAAATCGGAGTTCGTCGACGTCTCAATCTTTGTGGGAAAGAGACAAATCATGCCGATATTTCGCGCAAGTTTTGGCGGTGTTGCGGCAGTGAGAAAAAGCGGTCACTCGGCGCTCATGCGGCTCTACAGGGACTAAGAATTGAGTGAAACAACAGTAAAAAACTAAAGGAATACGTGAATAGCAAACGAGTTTAGGCTTTGGTTGAGACCTAGAGCTAAAAAGATTTTCGTACAACTGCACTGTGAATAAATACGACTTCAACCTTCATAAGTTTTGCTGAGCCTGTAATTAATCCCGCTGGCAAAATAAATAATATCTCCCCAGAAAGAGGTACCTACTTTATTGAATAATTGCAAAGAGCAGTAAGCATCAGTTCAAGTATCGTTTCATACTTACGAAGGAGCCTAAAAACCAAAAACAAAGATGTAAGATCATTTCATGGAGTATTAAAAACTCGTGTGACAACGTTGACATTGCGGACTTGCAACAACTGTACTCACGAGTGACGTGCTTCTGTCGCGTTGACGACGTCACAACGCGACTGCGCTCCTCAGACGAAACATGCACGCTTTCGTTGACAGGTGCATTTCCGTCAACTGTTCTGTCAACGGCTGGCCGATGGAGTTTCTGGTCACCAAGCACGGTAGAAGCACCTGGTAATTTTTTGTCTGACAAGTTGAGCGAGCTTGTACCTCGTATTTTTTGTCCCGCAGGTATGACAGTCGACTTGGTGAGACTTGGATGAAATCGCGAGTGATTATTGAATCCTTGGATTTGATTCAAGTGCTCATCGATTTCGATCGCTGATTCGGTGTCATAACCAGGCTCGTTCACTTCCATCACGGGCTTCAAGTATCCGGTGTTCGTTTCTTCCTCTTCTTGGCGCCAAAAATTTGTCGTTTCTGCATGGCTCGGATGCTTGTTGGCTGGGGCTTTTCCAATTTCACGGGTTGTCACTAATGTATCATTCTTTTTGAAAATGTGTTCGACCGCACGCTTCACCGGGTCAATAACCGTTTCTTTCAAAATAGTTCGTTTTTTGTTATGTTCGTACCTTCGACGACGACGACGACTTTTTAAAAAGAGATCTCGAGCATTTTGAATTAAAGCGCTGTCGAGAGGGGTGTCAATCAAACTCATAACTAATTCAACGGCTTCTCTTTCATAGTCGAGCAGCGAGCCGCCATAGCGCAATGAAGCGCTAGACGTCATTTCCAAAGTAGACCGAAGATCTTCAGATTGGTTAGTAAGGCGAGATTCTTGCATGTCAGGGGCGTTTGAAGCCGCATCTTCAAGGGAAACGCCAAGAAACGATTCAGTAGATCGAGGTTTCTTCAGTTGCAAATCATTCATGAATGTTAGAGGGGACTTCCCCAAGCGAGGCATCTCAACCTTCGATGTGTTGGAGAGTACATCGCCTGGAAGAAAAGTCGTCATGGAAAGAGCTGATTTCACACGCATCCCTCTTGCGATATTCCAGAGTTTCCTGTCGCTGTATCGAAACGCTGAAAGGTGCGAAAGCTCAGCTAAAGAGTTGCTCGGAAAAATCTTCTGGTAATCTCGAATCCTAATGATAAATTCAAATTGATCATTCTCCGGAAAATTCGGACCTTTTTTTGGTTCTCCTGTGGAACCGAAATTGACTTTGTTTCCCAGATTACCCTCAAGAGGATCAGCCACAGAATTCAGCTCATCATCCTCTTCAAGGAGCAACGTTGTAAAGACGTCTTTTAATTCTGAATGAGAGCCTTGCCTTTGTCCAACATCAGCAGCCTCGTTTTTAAGAACTTTAGCCAAACTCCACTTGTATGAAATTTGCTTCAAATCGTCATCCGAGTTACACGAGAAGCAGAAGCTTTCGAACACCACACGATTAGTTGAGCCCAACGGCAGGTATTCATCGAAATGTCGGACGATGCCAACACTGAAAAAAAATATTTAATGACAATTAAATAAAAGTTAGAACAGAACAATCGAATAACAGAAGATTTTTAATATTGCTTTAAACCCTTGTATGCTATCATTGTCTCGAACTCCAAACAGTACTGAATCGAATCCAGAAGTTCATTTCCTATAAATGCACGAGCGAGACTATCACGGCGAGGTATACATCTAATGATAAACTTAGAATGAGTCTCAAGCCAACTCGCATTTTCGTTGAAAATTCAAAACACCAGGTCTCATTTAAGTGTTTAGGTAACTAACAGGACAATATAGAGGGCACACAAACATAAAAACTGTTTAGGAACGCATTAAGAGCTAGAAAGAAATTTTCTGGGTATACTTCAAAATCGAAGATAATAAAGTTGAGACTGATTATTCAATAATGTCATCACTGTCGTTAATTGAGTTTCCGGGTAAAGCTGCGTGATGGCCTCGAAATAATTAGTGGAATTTTAGGGGCAAAATTATTCGCGGAGGGAATAAGTTGAACGACTCGATCCCTCACGACCGATGCCGGGACTGCTTACAGCACCGCTTGTTTTAGGCAGGAATTCATTTACGGCGTGAGCACGAAAACTCATTTGTACGCAACTGGGCGGTGGGTGACGGTGGGACGAGTGAAGCTTATCATGAGACACGCGAGACACTGAGACTTTAGTGGTAGACAGTCAGACTTCAGACCGAGACAGTGAGACATTTGTGCGAGACACTAAGATTCAGTGCGAGACAGACTTCTGAGCGAGACCCTGAGATACGAGTGTGGGACATCAGTGCAAGACTGTAGGCGAGACACTAAAACAAAGAGGATCAACAGGTCGATATTTCCTCAGTGCATTAACCTCATCACTCATGTGACATCAAAAGACAGAGCGGAAAGCCTTCGTTTAAAACACATTATTGATAAAAGATATTAAAGGGATGTGATGCATTAAGTCATCAATGAGAGTGACTAATTTTCAGCGTACAAATCCGGTTAAGATATAGAAGTTTTTTTTAATGAAGTAGGTACGCTAAAAGCATGTTCGTGATTACCGATTAGCTTTTCTTATTATTGCGCATTGTTCTACCAGTTACAAAATCCATTTGTTCCTCATTTTACATTACATGCAGGACCGGTAACATAACACCAACTTCACAATAACGAAGATGTTGCACTTACGACTTTATCAACACAAAATCGCAAAATGAATTCAATAATTAATACAACACAGAATAAGGATTCCACTCACTCCGTCACGAGACTGGAGAGCACGACGATGCGCTGCTGTGATGACCGTGGAGGTCGCGACGCTTCTGTCACGGACACTTTGAAGAGCAGTTCAAACGCCAGAGGCTGCAGCATGTAGCAAGGGAATGTCAGAGACTCGATGTAGCTCGTCAGCTCCTCGGATTGGCCTTCATCGGCTGATGTTGGCCAATCGTTCACGATAAAGCCGTCACCGAAGCTAGCAGGTGTTGAGGATTCGTCGTGGTTCGTGTTTATAGAACCCGGTCGCTGATAGCTCGCATTTGCGAAAATTTCGTTGAAGTTTTGGATCTCATCAGTGCTGTCTTTAGGGTTAGGTTGGCTCGATTTCCACTGTGTGTATAACTGGAAAGAAAAAATACACAAATATACTCTGTTGTCAGTAAAAAAAAATGAAAAATTTTCCGACAATCGCGTTCTTATTTGGCCTAAATGGCACTCAAAACGAACAATGCACTCTAGAATAACGAAAATTAACATCGAAGAGCACTTGACACTCGAATTCGGAGAAAGAGATAAGCAATGCGCGTCATGGGCGACCGGCGTCTACGAAATAATCAACAAAGATGCTTTGTTCACTAGCGAGACTCCTTGTAAATGAAGTGTGGCACAAAACGTGACTACTGCATTACTGCATCGATCCTTCAAAGCCAGCAACGCAGACGACTCCGAGACGCTATATCATGTCTGCCGCGCTAACCACTATAACTCTAGAAGAATACTTCGTCTTAATTATTCTTCTCCCAATGTGATAAAGAAAATCTGTGGAGGATTAAATGTGTCAGCATAAAACCCAAATCCCCAGAAGAGTAAAAAATTCGCGTTCAGAGTGTAAAATAAATTTAATGCATGTCCTTGGCCGAAAAGGAACTTCTACAAAAATTACAGAAACACTAAAATGCCGCATAATAAAACCTAAAAATACAAGAAATGAGTAAGAAAATAAGTGCAGTTTACGTTGTTGTTAATGTTGTTAATGGTACACACTACACAGTACGATGAAAAACCGAGCTATTGTGATGAATAAAAACTGACATTGTGAAAGCACTATAATTGATGACATTGTGAAAGCACGATAACTGAAAGCCCACACGCTAAGAATGGAACGATTTGAGAAGAGGGAGAAATAGCATTCAATTACTGAGAGTTAAGTGATGGAATTTGAAAAAAAATATATATTACAAAACATCATCCAGCGTTCCAGAAATCAGATAGCTGAAAAGGCAGCAACAGAAGCAAAATCATGGTGAGAATTGTAAAAAAATGAGGCGTGACGTTTCAAATTTTATGCCTGAAACTTTTACAATTAAATAAGACTGTAAAGAACAGAGTGCTCGTCTGAAAATAGATAAAATTTGTTAACTGAACCGCTTGTCATCGACGTTTAATGCTTCGATTAATTCTTTCCAGGCGACAACATTTTTCAACATGATTATTAATATTAATCTCTCCGTAAAACGCTACAATCTGAATTCGCCTTAATTTATCTTCACTGAAACAAACATCGCTCGTTCAGAAGTCGTGCGCTGGCAAATTGACATGTTCTTCAGTTCACGCATCACTTGCGCAATTTTTTGTTGTCACGGAACCAATAAACTTTCGAGTTCAATGAACCGCATTCCTAAGTGAGTGGTTAAAAATTTTTATTTGTTTCTGATTTTACCAACAGTTTTTACACGTTTGTATTCTAAGGAAATTTGTCATATTTTCATGCACGCCAAAAAGATTTGTCTATCACCCTTTCCATTTGTCAATCACCTTTCAGATTTGCTTATCACCTTTCAGATTTGTCTATCATCCGACTTCCATTTTATTCTTGTAAATGAAACTGTTATTGCAAAACTCACAGCCATATTCGAGGTTTATGGAATACATCGGACCATAGCATGCATGCAAGCAGGCTGCCAAGCCAAAGGTCTCGTCGCACCTTCCACGCGTTTAACCTACACGCTACACGTAGATCCAAAGCCGGCATAAAGGCGACCAGCAAAGACAAACTCGAGAAAAAGTCAGGAGGTGAGCTCAAGTCTTTTCAGGTACAACAATAATGGAAATGGCAAGTCATGGTAGCACCGGTTACCGGGTCCGGGCTTCCCACGGGTTCGTGGGCTGATCATGGTCGAGGGCGACACAGTCAGAGTTCATTCAGGACAAGGTTTACATTCGCGCGCTTCATGAAAAAGATACGCCATCAGGAGACAGACCGAGTTCACATCAATTCTGTTCTTATTTGAAATCAGCATGAACTGGAAGTGGATTCACGAAGACAGTAGTGGAACTATTCTATTGAAGGTGAATCCAGGCGTTTATCTTGCTTTGACAAATATTGCAGTAATGTAGGTACAAATTTCTCTGAGCGCCGTGAAGTATAAGATCATTGAAATCGGAATATGAAACGGGGTTCAACCGGGTGCTACCAGATAAGCCCCACGTTCGATACCGAGCGGCTGTAGTAATAAGTTTCGAAGTAAATCAACTACGAAGTTCCAAGGTGACAATTTGACATCCAACACGACGTTAGATGCTGAACTCTGTCCTATGATTATTATTCTTAAAGTATGCCTCAGATAAGGCCAAAAAATCCCGTCAACGGTGTGTGGAATGTAGTTTATAAGACCAGTCGTGTTAGACCACCATCAAAATGATTAACAGCGTCGTTTGCGTACGAAAATATTCAACTAGGCGAAGTCAAATTTCATTTGTAACCTTACCAGATTGACCCACGGACAACAGATGAGACAAATTGAGACTCGGACGTTCGTATCCGATCAATGGAATGATCATACGGCCGTAATTGGACGCTTGCGACATCAGAATACAGAACAGGATCGTCATCCTATGATCGTGAGGGCAACGGATGAATTTGCGTAATCAGGAGCACATTGATTCTCTCTGTGACGAGGTGGTCGCTTGTCCAAATCGGTGGCCAATTAACCGTTTGATGAAGACATTAACAAAGGTACAAAGGTGTATCAAATGCATTTTGTATAAACTATATAAAATATAAAACGCAGGAATCAATGTCCAAAAATGATCAGTAAGTGTAAGTGACAAAAAAATTAATTACTTCTGATTTCAATAATACTGAACGCATGACGTGAGAAAGCAGTCGAATGTCCAATTAAATAAATAATCTGTGATAGACCTACGAAACATCAACAAAACAAAAACATCAGATAAATACCTGCAGGTTAAAGTATAATCATATTTTCAACGACGTAATGGCTTAGAATGTGGCTGAAAAATTAAACTCATCGATAACGATAGTCTGTCTTCCTTTACATAATATAAATTGATGAAAAAATAAACTCTTGTTGAAACTATTGAAAGAATGTAAGCCAAGTTGGTTCGGGAGGAATGGAAACGAAAGAAGTTCGTCTGGACATCACTGATGATCAAGCATTCTCAGAGTAGAATGGTCGTGATTAAAGTTTCACTAAGCACGATCTCACTAAGCACGATTGATGTCCTTCGTCCTAGACAATTTCCCCAAAAAATATCACACAAAATTAATAAAATATAAAGGACGCCAACTAAGTGGTTGATGATTATACTGGCGCCAGATAAGTGGTAAATGATACTAAATAATGAGCAAAATGTCTTTGAGGCTCACCTCGAATGTTCTCTTGAGTTTGCGGGAGAGCGAGTCGGTACGGACGGTGCGTTGGAAGTAGTCCCAGGGGTCGGGGGCGATGAAGCACGGAGTTTGCGGGTCGTGGAGGAAATGACATGACCAGGAGAGCGAGTAGTTGGGGGTCGGTGAGTGAACCTCAACCCAAAGAGTTATATTCTCAGCCCGAGACTGCCATCGAGTGCTGCCGCCTAGGAACTTCACTCTGATACAAACAAATATCGTCATTAAATACAAATTCCAAATTGGATCAGTATTTCAGAAAACAGACTCAATCAATAGTTGAACGGCTAGTCACTAACTAAACCCTCAAACAAAGAATGAGAAATTATATACTGATAAAATAAGGCACGATCATATTTAAACCCGTTGGACGAAAATAGATAAACATATCTGAATAACCCAAAGCCGGAGCAGAACCCTACACCAGAGCGTTTTAGGACTAGTGCAATAAAATGATTAGGCAGGGTACAAAGAACAATACCGCAGCGAACCATTATCCTTCAGCCTAAATAATAATTTAAAAAAAAAACATGGAAACGTACCGGCTTCTTTGAATGGTATAGTGTGAAGCGAGATGGTTTCCGTTGCTAAGTTAGCAAAAATGTGACCCATGTCAGTCTAGACCATTTACAGGCCATCAAACCACTTCCCTCACGCGACCAGAAAAGCGTGATTTGAAAATAAATGACTAAATTCTCGTTTTTTAATACCTTGAGATGAGTGATTCCTTTCTCGATTTATTGAAGCAGGAAAAGCCCAGAGATAAATAAATCAGTAGGTTTCGTTCGTTGTACGAACTTTACCGAAAATACAACTTGGGTGGAGTTCCCTTATTTATGTGTCAGCTAAAATAATTATTCGACAACACTATGACAGGTTATTATAAAATGTTTTTCTAGAAAAGAATTTTAAGGCTTGCGGTCAAACTGAGCAGAAAAAAATTAACCTCGAATGTGTTCGAGTCTAAAATCATTTTGCAGGTAGACGTTTCAGCGTGGAGCTTGCTACTTCTAACACAATGATTGGAAACTGGCGTCGACCATACTTAGCTCTCCATCAAGAAACGGAAACCCTTCACTGCAATCGAAGGAAACCCTTCACTGCAATCAAAACCCTCTACGACACAAATTCCTTTCGGTGCACGCAAGACGCAAATAACCGCTCGTTACTGCACTGTTAATCAGTGATCACTGCAGTCAGATGACAATTTACTAATAACGAGGTTTTCTTTCGCAAAAAAAAAATTGCATCTATGAAATCGAAGCAACCACTAATTGAACGGAGAAATCAACAAGAAAAATACTTCCGACGCCTTAACCGAACTGAATTAATTTTTAAATTGAACAATCACGGAGAATATATTACATGCAGTATTGATGCTAAAGAAATGAACTTACGAAAATGGTACTTCGACGACTTGGAAGGAAATATTCTTGCCGGAGTGGACGACGGTATCTCTTTCGGAGACGATGAGCGCGGCCATGTAGGTGCCGATGCCCGAAGACCAGTGAAGATCTGAAGTCGTTCTAACCGAAGACGAGGTCTTCGGCAACGACATCACGGCAGCTCCAGAGGGTCGGGGGCGAAATGCAAGAAGTTCGAGCTTTGGGGTTACATTGTTTTTACCAAAGGTTGAGTTTGAGAGCAACGATGCGCGGTTTGAAGAATGCTGGACATCGTCGGTATCCTCCAGTGAACTATCACTTGCGTCAGTGTGGTTATCGAGACGCCAAGAAATGGAACTGTTGTATGTAGGTTCTTGACGAGAGTGCATGATAACCAAATCTTGAGGCAAGATCATCAATGTTGGAGTTTCGAATCTTGCAATTTGTTTTTTCCCTTTATAGATAAACCAGGTAAACGTAGCACCTGAGCTTTGTTCACAGTCACGCCAAATTTCCGGCTCCAGGTGGATTTCTTGCCCGCTATCGAACTGTGAATAAAAAAATATCCTGTTAGTATATGTACAGTTCAAAAAGTAAATAGGTAAGAAATGATCCTTAAGGGCCGTCAAGATCACATTCTGATTAGACCCTATTAAAAGAGTGGAAAGCTTACGTGTAAAATATGTTGGTATTTACATAGCGCATTGAAAATAAATACGGAAAACATGTGTTAAGATGGGTTGCAACACGTTCACCCAACATAGCCAAACAGTATGAATCTTCTTGCAAAAAAAATCGCGCGTCTAAAGTGAAACTTGGCTTTCTCAAACAAGAGTGCCCGCACGAGCGCAACGACCGGATGGACGTGTACAGATAAAAGTTGTTTTTTGAGGAAACCCTTCATGAAGGTCGGGCCATGCAGACCTGGACCAGCAAAATCAGTCACACCCAGGAAAAAAATACATAGAAGGCAACGCCCGCGCATACGCGTGATGAAACCTCACGTTCACTCGACAGCAGCAGCGCTAAGCGTCGACACCCAGGCGATCGCGATTCTTGCAGGCGATCTGTGCCTTCAATAGACGCTGTTGAACCTTTATATATTACAGTTGGTTTCTATGATACAAATTCATGGTGTCGACCAATGAGATGAAAAGCCTGCTCAACACTATATAGTAGGGCGGACAAATTATCGAACCGAGTGTAAGTTCAGTTGTACATGTGCCGTCCGAGAAAAGTTGACGGCAAATTTTTCTTGTTATTAGCCTACAGTGTATTATTTAGACTTCCAACTTGTTTTAGTAATAGACGACAACGTACACATGAATGAACAATATGTTTTGCAGTATTATCTGATGATTTTACGGATAAACCTCATCAGCATTCCAAGTCAAATTAACTCTAATGAAGAAAATCGCGACGTGTAATCGTAAATATTTGATTTTCACACCCAAATATCTCTTACAATTTTACTTGATGTTCGTGAAACATCGAAACCTTCAGAAAGCACCTGATGCTATTGGAAAGTAGTGTACAAATAAATAATAACATAATCGAATTCGCTTACCATACAAATACGTAACGCATTATCGTCTCAAATCGTGTTGAGAATCTGGCTATTGCGCTTAAAAATCTCTTATTAACGCAAGAAATATGAATCTTCTTTTAAAAGTTGCAGTGTAAGCGATGTAACTTTCTCGTTAATTATAGAAATCGCGCGCGGTCGTGAAAAACAATGCGTTCTATGGTGCCAAAAGATTATACGGACGATATAAATCTCGTGTTGTCAGGCGCTATGATTTACGCTGCGCTCCGAATTGGTGATTATGTCAGCAGCTCAGAATTGCTCCACGCTCTCTCTTCCATGGAAAATATTGCGCTTAATAAAATCCAAAAAAATAACATCATTGTCAAGAATTTCCGGGATGTTTTCAATTATATTTTATCCCAGACGACTGAGTGCTAAACAGCCGGTCGGTATGGATAGACTAATTTTATTTTATATATTAAAAAAATACATAAAACATGTAGATTTTATTCCAGTTACAGAAATTGGACGCATATCAATTTATGGCAAAATTTTACGTGCATAAAGTTCAGGCACACACGAGAACAAAGTGAGATTTAGTACAACGATGTTAGTGATAAAATAGCGAGCGTGTTGAAATTACGGACTCATCTTAGCTCATTATGATGCACGAAAAATATCCTATATCTGTTCTAACAACTTATTAGTTTCTAAGTTTAATTATTCAGAAAAATTCCTCTAAAAGAATACAGAGGAAAGTTCAACTTTCAGAACATAAAAAAAACATTATCATGCGGGGGATACGCGATGAACTCGCAAAATGCCTCGTATAAGAAAATAACCTAAAAGTTTTTTTTGATCCTCTAATTTATGCCAAAAGTCGGAAATTAAGCAACACTTGAGATGGCCACATAGCACAAGTTCAGGGAAAAACTTCAAACTCTAGAAAAAGCAGCGACCGCCGAACGAGGTCTTCGAAAGCGCTTGGCAGCAGCTGTTGAAATATTAAAGGTCCGCTGTAAAGTTGGCGATGTTTATGCAGACTGCAAACACCTTCGAACCTGTCATAAACACGGCCTGTAAACACATGCATGCACCAACGCCATCACCCTAACGTCTCACAACGAACATGTAACAACCAAATTCTAGGCTTTCGTTCTTCATCATGGCTCAGTTATACACGAGGAAAGTTGTATGAAGCAATTTAAATTTCAATTTAAAAATTCAGAAAATATCGCTTCTTATTGACTGAGGCATTCTTGCCGCAGAATGGCAATTCAAACGGAATCACGGTACAATTAGACGAACGACACATTGTCTCTATCAACCATTTTAATTCATTATAAGGCTACATTGAGGCCCTTAGTTCAAGATCAACAAACCTTTCAGAACATTCATAAGGTTGCACGATGGCGACAAAATAATCAATCTCATAAAATACTTCTTACAGTAAGGCTATCTTGAGCCGAAACACGAGATGTCATCACCATCAAAGACACCATATCAGGAGCAAGTCACACATGGCTACGCCGCTCCTAAGAAGTTTGCCAAGACAATAACTCGTAAAATCAAAGAAGATGGCATTTTCACCATCGCCAGCATTCCGAGTTTCCAAGTTAGAACAGACAGCCATCCATGTAGAGCAACGCACCGCGAGAAACTTATTCCAGATAAAAAGGAGGAGCTGAAGTTAGATGGAAACTTCCGAGTCAAGACAACGCTCAATCCTAGTCGTTAAGGACTCCGACGAGTCACTTCTGGTGTCCTGTGTAGAGACTGAAGAAGCACGACTTGTTCGATGGGAAGCAGAGAAGCAGGAATCAAACAGAGTCGCTTCTCTTAATTGTTTAAATAAGAAAACTTCTCGTTCAGCCTTTCGCATTAAGTAGAATAAGAGCAGTTTTTTCTATTGAACGATTTCACTGTATACTACAACTGAGCTTTCCACGGAAGTGTTCTATTTTTTCCTGCAGTAACGCAATTCAAGTTTTTGATACCTTAAGATGCCACACATACGCTTCACGACGCATTAAGAAACATTTTCAGGTCGCAATGCAAAGCAGCACGGACCCTCGTCAGCGCCCAGGGAAAGGGAGCGGAATCGAGAGCCTGCGAGGGAAACGATTGACGGCGCGAGGGCCCTCGAGGAATGTCGCGGAGAGGGGAGCATCTCACGCTGATTAAACACGACTTGTCAAAAGTACCGAAAGCAACAAAGGCAAACCAGAACTAATGGATGATATTTGGAGAGTCAAGCCGTGCTGGGTTTAAGGACAGGGCGATGGTGAAAGGAGTTATAGCGTCTTGAATTAAATTTCTCCCGACACTGTCGAGAGCTTTCCTGTCCCATCCCAAGTCAGTGAAAGAACCAGAATAAGTCTACGGGAATTTCAATGATTACTTTGAATAAACCAGGTCAAATCAATGATTGTCTTTTTTATGTATGAAATTCCTCATGAAATCATGTATAAATTTAGTTAAATAAATTATTCAAAACGGGTGGGGTATTTTCACTCAGATCAAACACGAATTCCCCTATAAAACATAAACCCATTTTGAGACGGCATTAGTAAAAATAACCTTGCCATCTATAGTACGACATAAAGTTATTTAGAAATACAATTGTTTTCTATTTTCCACAGCAAATAAGTCGGTACCAAGTCCTTAAACAATTCCCCCTTAAGCTCTTTATCGCTACAGAGGAGCATTCATTCTCGTGTCAATACCAACACTAATCTTATGTGCTCCAGAATCGAAATAGATCCGAGCGCCGCAAATGATGAAGTCGAGCACGAGAAAAATATGCTCCGTTTATGTGTTGACAGGAGAAATGTGACAGTACCTTGTTTGAGTGTAATTGTCAGGTGTTGATGTCACGCACTGATGAGTGCATTCTGCGCAGCAGCGCTCCATGGAGGATCCAAGAAAAACAAGTGTGCACAGACTGGCTCGTCCAATACACAGTCTTTCCAAATACAGCACTGATTTTTGTGACGAATAAGCGATGCGCACAGAAGAGAATTGATTTGATGCACGCCTGAAAGGCTTATAATAATAGAGAGCATAATGGTGGGTTCATTGCTTAATCCATTCAGGAGTGGGCAGCAAGTTAAAATATAACAGCTGACAATATTAACGAAAAAATTAGAAAAATGTTCTGTCGAGGAATTGTAAACTAAATCGTATAGTCAATAAGAAGCGATATCAGTCAGACCACGGAAGTTCAGAGGAGCAAAATCAGTGAACAAATGGAGAGCGGTCGGTTTCATTTATTTATTTATTTTTTAAACAGAAAGGTCGGGTATTTCGATTGCTTGTTCTCAACTGAATTAGTGTAAAGACAATAATTCAGAGAATCGAATTTTTCCAATGCCGTAAGTTATTCAAGCAAACTTTTCACACCGAATGACCGAAATAAAGACTCCAATAAACCATTGTATAATTTACACGCAATTTTTCATATTTTGAACGAATAATTCGTTATAAAAATAGAGAAATTTAATGGAAATTAGAATGAACCGTGCAGTTTGTCGTCAGTATGCAAATAACTAAACATACTGGCTGCTCTAATTCAAAAATTTTCATCAGAACAATTAAAATCTTCGCGATTTCCTCGGGTGGATATGCTGCTGACGAGTAATTTTACGTGAAAAAATATAAAAATTCTATCCACAAATGTTGGCAGTAATTGGACTGGGATTCGCTTAAGTCACTTTTTAAGAAGGGGAGTCGCAATCTGCGAATTCAATTGATTGGAGAGCAATCAGCATCGCACTTTTCTATTGTCGGCTGAAGCAGACGAGTATCCGAGCACCGATATGCACATGACGCCTGATAGAAATAACCAGTCAAATAGTCTGTGAAAATCTTAGAGAAATTAGTTAAAGAATACTCAAAGTTTGAAACTATTAAAACTATAATATTAGGGTAAAATGCTTCATACATAGAATGGGTTAATTCGAAATAAGTCAAAATCTGGCAAAAATAAATAT